TCCGGAAAAGCGTCTGTGCCAATCTAGACGCTCTGTTCCGAAAATGCTTTTAATGGAAAACTTTTCTGTTAAAAGCATTTCCAGAAAATCATGCCAGTCTAGACGTAGCCTAGGAGTGTAGATCCAATTTAGCCACATTCGGTCGATTTTCTAAACAACGTGTCCACGCTGCCAAGCTTGTTCTGTCACCCTTAAGGGCCATGGAAGTTGATTTTGGTACTTCTGCTTCACACTGTTGTTGCTGCTAGAGAGCTCACCTAGATCAAACCATTGTACAAGACAAAAACACACACATAAGGTGGGATTTTCAAAGATATTGAGGTGCCCAGAGACAGAGCTAGGCACCTAACCTGTGAAACATGTTTGAAAATCCCACTAGACACCTTTCTGCATCTTTAGGCCACTAAATGCCATTGAAAATGGGGCCCTTACAGGCATTAAAAGCATCTGTGTCTGCTTGTAATGAGACATGCACCCTTTGGCATTTTGAAAATCCCACCAATAACCTGCAAGCAATAGGTGAGATTTTTAAAAGACCACAGAAGAACTGTAAACTTGAGAGTTATGTCAGAATGTTACTCCCAGAAAAGACAAAACTAGGCTGCGGTGTACCTCCCATGCCCACATAAGGTAAGGATTCAAAACAGAGGCAGACAGCTTGTTTAAAAAAAGCTGGTTCGCCAAAGAGCTCTTCATGCAAACCAGAAGTGGGCTGTTTTCTTTGAAATCGTTCACAAATCGCTTCTCTTACTGTTAATCTGTCCTAGTGGTCTATGGACTCTTGCGGCAGTCTGATGCTAATGCTTACCCACGAGCTTCTGATTAGCTGTACAGCCATTCAAATATCTGCAGGCACAACGACCGTTGGAATAATAAGTGATGGGTAATTGGATAGTACTCGAGTGGGGTGTCAACTGATCCAAATCCAGGGACAATTTGCCTGCAATGCATATTTGAGCAAGGCCCTAAGACAAGAGGAGCCCACATACAACTCAGCGCCAAGTGTGAATGCACTTTCAGCAACAACATGCTGGCGGAATTCATTTCATGTAGGAGCGAGGCACCTTGCAAGGCAGTCCATTAAGGAAGGATCTAGCTAAAAGAGGCACTGAACGTAGCAGACTTTTCTCACGGTCCTGGTCTCACCCTCGCTATGGAAGAGTTAAAATGCTAAGACCAGACTCTGCAGTTACAGATTTCAGCTGGTGACCTGAGATGTGAACATTTGATGAAGCTTCACAGTGACATTAGCAATGTCTAGCTCTCAAATAACTGTTTTCAGCTGTGGATCTCAAAGAGGTTTGACTGCACAACCCTTCAAGCAGGGATACTGACTTTGTTCTAATTTGTACAGCATCTAATTCAATGGAGTTCCAATATACGAATAGGAACTCTAGGCCTGGTCTACAGTCAGGGTTAATTATGTAGCTGGCGTCAACTTACCTTGTTTCGAGATTCCCCGCTGACTGCATCGCAGAAGGCTGACAGGAGCAAACGCTCCCGGTTGCTTCCCTTACTCCTTGCAGAACCAGGAGCAATGGCCATTGTTAGGGGTGCCTTCTGAGTTCGATTTAGCAGGTCTTCAGGAGACCAGCTAAATTGAACTCCAGAAGATGGATCATGGCAGCACTGATCTTCCATTTAGTGACGACATATCCCTAAGCACAATGGTAATACAAATAATGAATAACAACACTTTCACACACTTGGGGTAGTGTCAATTTACATATGGGAAAGGACTTGCCCCACAGCTGAGGCAGGAACAGAACCCAGCGTGGGGGCAGTTGCCGCAAACTGTCCTTTGGACAGAACAGCTCTGCCTCCCTCTAAAAGGTTATTCCTGCAGCTATTGCTCACTCCTGTTATTGAAAAAAGTCACCTATTTTTCCAGATACTTTCCTTATACTTTAGTGCACCCCCATGATACAGAGATTTTGGAAATTAACAGCTGGCAACGTTTTCACATAGTGTCTGTTTGCAGCCTACTCACCAGAAAAGCATGGAGATGTGTGCTCGTATTAGATTTGTTTCCAGGAGGTGGAGCATGAAGAAAGAGAACTGTAAATTAAATACAAAGTGCTCCTTGGGTTGATATGCTGAAAATTGCTATGTACGCATAAGAGGCTAATGCCAAGTTATTTCGCCTGAAGGGTGTACCCAAGAAAAGGTTGGCTTATTCTTCCACACCTCCCACTTAATTATTGTTATAACAGGGTTTCAAACTCAATTTCCCTTAGGGCCAGTGCTCAACTCCTCCTACTGGGGCAGTGGGCACCCCCCTGGCAGTGGTCTGTGGAAGGGGGGGGGGCGCTGCGTACTCCCCCCTCATGTGTCACCAGACCAATTCTGACCTCTCTGGGCGACTAAACCCTCCTCCCTCCTCCAGAACCTCAGCCACCATCACTGGCAGCGTGGCTAGAGAGGCTTCTAGTAGTGAAGAGGAGCAACTGGGCTGACCTGGAAGATGGCAGTGGAATGGAGAAGAGGCTGCTGTGTTGCTCCGTTTCCCCATGGTTCCTGCCACCGTGGGGAATGTGGAGGGGCCCGATCCCTGCTGCTACCCCACTGTCACAGGGACTTGTATGCCGGTCACCTCACGCAGGCCGTATTGTGGAACTGCTCAAGGCTTAGATGGCCCATTAGAAACCCCTGTATTATAGTGTTTTCACGTGAAAGTGGCCACTTTGGCTTAAACTGTGAGGGGACTATTCCAGTAAGGCTATAACGTCTGCTCGGAGAACCTGCATTACCCTTCAGCAGTGCTTGCCTAGGACTAACAGTTACTCATGGAGAAGTCAAAGGTGCCCTGAAAAGGGAAAAACAAACAAGAGTCCTGCCCTTTTATCTTTCTATTTATGCCGCGGAAAAAGGTGTGGAAGGTCTACGGCCACTCCTTCCTCGCCAATTCAAAATTCAGGTCTTGTAGCAAAACCAGGGTGACAGGGAGCCAGCAAAGTGATACCATCACGAGAGTAGAATCTGTACACAACTGAGCAGCGCGTGTGTGGGCCTGTCTAAAATCAGGTTTTGTTTTTTTGGTTTAGTTTTGCCTATTTCGTTTCACCACCTCATGAACACCAGGTTGAAAGGCTGCCTTGGTTAAAGATTCAGTAGCCCCATGCATTTAATTAAAAGCTGACAGCACAGAGGTAAAAGTAAGGGGGTGAGCCCTGATACAAGAGCTGATGCAAAAGCCAGCAGGGAGCTATTGAAATAGCTGGCAGGGACTTAGGTTGCAATAGGACAGTACCTGCTGCTTCTCCAGCAGAACTAGGGGTGACTGGAGTGGGGAGTGCATATTTACTTGCATTGCGTTTCCAAGGCACCCACGTTTGTGTCTTGCACAGTACAGTTGGATGACAGAACTCATTGGTTAGAGTTTCCGTTAGTTTAGCTGCAAGTGGAACTTCCATCACTAGAGGCCTGCAAATCCGTGGATATCTGCTTTATATCCGTATCCACAGTTCATTTTTGTATCCAGAACCCTGCGCATTTAAGAATATCTGCACATAACTCATTTTTGTGGCTATGGTTATGAATTTTGTATCCGTGTGGGGCTCTGTCCATCACTTCCTTAGGGACTACTGCACTGCCTGATGTATCTGTCTGACAGTTTGCCTGTCTCAATTATCCCTTTCGTAAATTTCATCACCCCTATATTTTATTATCCTTGCACTAATTTATTCAGCCTAATTATCGCTTTATTTATTCCATCTACATTTGTGTTATACTCACCAGTCCCATCCTAACAAATTCCCCTTTCTCATTAGTGTTCACCATGTCATGAATTTGTAGGCTCAATGCTTTTTTTGTAACGGTACTGACCGGTACGCAGTACTAGCACCTCCAGACGCAGTACCGGCACCTCCAATCAGAGCTTGCCTGGAAAGAACGGAGCGTACTGGCGCCTCTGTACGGAAATGTCTGACAGTAGGCTGGGCCGCGTGTCTTAAAAGGGCAATGCCAGTCGCGCCCCCCCCCCCCTTTTTTTTGCTCAACAACTTTTCCCCTGGAGTACCAGCACCTTTTTTAAAGCAAAAAAAGCACTGTGTAGGCTCATGTCGTGACCTACTTTTGTTGTCTTTTTAGCCAAGCTAACATATCTAACACCTTTAATTTCACCTCATATATCATCAATAAATCATCATTTATTGCTTTTCTCTGAATTTCCCTCCAGTTTGCAGAAATGTTTCTACCAAGCTCTTCCCAACTGCAGACTCCATCTCTCTGTTTATGCTGCCCAAACATGCAGAGGGCTTTTTTGAGGAGTGGGCTACTTTTATCACATGAGAATGTCTCAGTCAGTCTAGGTCTCTTTCATAACTATTGCTTTCCAGATTTCTCCCTCCCATTGACAAGGCTAGCTCCTTCTATCAGAACACATAGGCTATGTCTTTAGTTGCCACACCAGAGATTGATATTCTGGCATTTGATTTAGTGGGTCTAGTTAAGATCCACTTAGTCAAATGCTGAGGACAGCACTGGTTGATGCCAGTATTCCCTGCAGTTCCAAGAAGTAAGAGAAGCTGATGGGAGCATTTGTGAAGATGGTGCTAAGCTTGGTTTAATGTAAGCTGACTCCATCTATATATTTTATGTAGCTGGGGTTACACACCTTAACCTGACCTTGCAGGTCTAGTGTAGACTTGGCCAGAGAAACCAACAATGATCACATGGTTCAAAACTCAGGAGCTGCAGGAGCCTCAGCACAGACTTCACTGACTTATCCATCATGCCACTTTTCTTTGTCTTCCTTTTCCCATCTGTAAAATGGGGCTCATAATACATGGATGACAAGGGAGTTATACAAGAAAAAGCCTCATGTCTGTGTGTCTTTGAGATCCTCTGAATGAAACTGACATGGGAGTGCAAATTATTTTTGTTACATTATATTACTAGACTAACACCCATCTTCAAGAAAAACTCTTGAGAATGCAATTTAGTGATCCATGTAGGATGACGTCTTTAGATTCATGATTAAAAAGACAAAGCAGGCAATCTTTTGCAAAATAAAAGTTTTTTCAAGGCAAAGACCAGCAACAACAATTATAATTCATATTTCTTTGATCCATTAAAAACCAAAACATTCTAATGTAACAGACGTGTTAATATACTAGAGAAAAATAATACATCGCATTAGACATCTCATTTTACAAGAAAATCTGATTAAATTACTAATGACTGATGGAGCAGCACTCTAGATCAATCTGGGAATATCCACGTTGACAGAAACGCAAACATTGTAAATAGACAGCACTTACTGTAGAAATATCAAGATTAAATATATTTACCCATTAAAGCACACAAATTCTAGAGCAACCATAAAGTTAGTACTTTTTTAAAAAAAGCAATCAGGAGCAACAAAATCCTAACTTAGATCTAGATTTCTATTTATGTTCGTTAAAAAAATTAAAAACAAAAACCACAACAAACAAAAAAACTTATATAAACTTTAAAAAGCAAGACATTTCTGAAAAGTCAGATGATTTACTAGGTGTAACATTCACCCGGGTTTTGTTCTGAAGGCCAGCGCGAGGCCTACACGCCACTTAAAACTTCCTTATAAAGGTTTAAATGGGACTTAAGTTTTCACGCTATCCTTCTGAACATACAAGGGCAAACATCTCCCTATGCGTGACATTCACCACAGTGCAGAAGACCCAAAGCTATCTGCATCGTTTGGCCCCTCCACATGGGACTGAGTATGGCACGCAAGACACGGTGCAGACCCTCTGTGCTGGGGTCAACGTCACACAAAGGGAATAATTTAGGTACGTCTCTTTTAGCCTTTTACAAATTAATTCAATATTTAAAAAAATAATTGTTTTTTGTCTTAAAATGCTATAACTGGAGGGAGCAACATCCTTTCTAATGCAAGGAACAAGAGTGATAAAGAGCTGCTAAGGAAAGGACCTGTGAACAGCACGTCTCCAAAGAGCCATCTAACACGAGGTTCAACTCTCCCCGGGCTAGAAACACCAAGAGCCCAATTAGATGGGCTGCCGGCGTTACCGTGAGCACATTAACCCTGTTCAAACATCTGATCGACATCTTGCTTAGACCACTGGCAGCAACCAGGGCCTATCTACATACGCTACCGCCCTCCAATGCTGCAACAGAGAGAACGGTGAGCCCTGCTCTGGACTGAGCCAAGATGAGACTAAGCCCCTGACTCCCAGTGAACAGAGGAGCTAGGCATCTTTCATAATCAGGCCCCACCATCCCACTTTAGACTATTCTCACGCAGGCAAAATTCCCACGGAAGTCAAGCGAACAAATTTATCCAGGCCACAACTGGGCCCAGCTTCCACGAAAAATTCAGCATCTCACGGAGCTTGAGAACTTCCATGGGAGTTTCACCAGAAGGCGTATGGAGCTTTGGCCTGCAATCAATACCTTGAACTCCATTGTCCTCACAAGAGGATACCACTTCCAGCAGCTGGATAAAGCAGCTACTCTGCAGGCTCCCAGAGTGAATACAAGGCTGTAATGGACTCCAGCATGTCCTGCTGATGTAAAAAATGTCAGACAGCTCAGTGCATGAGCATCAGCAAAGGTCCTAGAGGAAATGAAAGCCAGCTCACTGCCAGCCTGCCTCTTTTCAGCTGGAAGAGAGAACCCAAACTTTAAGAACATTGTTTCTCTATTGTTTAAATAATAAAAAAATCGTAGTGGTTCAACAGTTCTTTTAGCCTTCCCTTTGATGTCACTGAAAGGGGAGTTACACAACCCTTTTAAGAAAATACTGTCATGCCCCACAGTAGTGGCTTTCTAGTGTTTTGTAATATTTGGAAATATTACCACAGAATACTGTAACGTCTGTTTAATGTGTTAGGGGGTTTTTCCCAGTCAAAAGGCAAAAGACATCCCAGAGACATTGGTAATGACCCTGTCTTGTTCAGACTAACCTAAATATGCATTCCAGCCACATCTTCAAATCACTAGGACTCTTTTTCCTTTCAGTGACTGCCAACAGCCTCGCTATTTATGAATCAGTAGTTTTCATTAATCATCGCAGCCTGTTCCCAGCACCCCAGTCTTTCCATTTCTGCCCCAATCCAGTACCAGAGACAAACCGAGTCCGAGCAAGCCATGCTGAGGAATGTCAGCGATACACCCACCTCAGCTGTTTGCAGTGACTGAAGCAGGGAAGAACAACAGAGCAATTTAATACAGGTTTCAATCAAATGGGATGATCTTTAAAGTTTGCTGGACAACAAGAAGGTATTCCAGTGGGTGCCTCTAAAAATAAAACCCTGTTTAGTACAACATGCCATTCAGGAGGGGAAAACGATGAAACTACTGCAAGAAGTTTAACAAGGAGCCCAGATAACTTTTTTTTTTAAACACGACCACCCACCATAATTCACCTTCTCTTCAGAATTTATAATGCCAGGGGGAACATGCCCATTAAATCAAGGACAGTTCTTCCTTACCCTCTTGGTATCAATAAGGCAAAGTTGCATGAACCTTGAGTGACAATTATTTCCCTGCAATTAATCTTAAAAAACTAGCTACATCCTAATATTTATAGTTGATGGGGTGTTAGTACGTCACCAAGAGAGCTACGTAATTCACAGCAACCACTTATAATATATATATACACACATACACACACACACCACAGTGTTCTACAGCCATGATCCCATATACTCTATTCCATTAAAACCACAGTAAGCTTCAGCAGTTGGGGGTCACAACTGCACAACACTATCCTATAAAATTTGTTGACAAGATACGTCACTGATCGGGGAAATTTACTAAGCTGCAACATCAATAGTTATTAGTATGTTACAAGTAACAATGGCGCTTTCCATGTGGTTTTGTGTGTGTGTGTGTGTGTGTGTGTGTGTGTGTGTGTGTGTGTGTGCGTGTATTTCTCCTGTTTTGGGTCACCCAGAACATACAACAGAATGAATGATCCCAGGCAAAGCCATGTCTAGTCTAGATGATTTTATATGCCAACAGTCTCTCCAAACCCTCGGTCAGTAACTCATGCCCGTTCTGACACGTCACCGGACTTCTGATCCGAAAGGCAGCAGAGGTCTTTCATCGATGTACTCTCTCCTCTCACACCAAACTTTAGCTTCGTGCATCCAGTCTCAAAGCTGGCATCTCTAAGCTTCTGAATGATAGTAATGCATCTTAGCACTGGGATGTAGATTCTGCTGACAGCATTCATATGTGTGACAAGAATTTCTTCTCTTTGCCAAAACTGCTTTCAACCCCTTCCTCCCCCCCATATTAATTCAGTTTTTACCTTTATCCATTCCCCCCCGACTCCAGGAAATACACATATCTAGGCCACTATCCTCAGGATGAAGAGGACTGTGTGTGATTTTCTTCCAAGACAATCAATCCATCTGGTCCCTCAAAGATGCACTTGCAGACTGGAAAAACTCAGAATGAGATTTCAGCCTTGGCATACCCATCATCTTGTGGGGATACAGCACATCTGCGTTTATGACACTGTTATTGCCATGTAGCAACAATGGTGATGTCACAATGGAGCATTGTGATTTCACCGCAGGAGCAAGCAGACTGACAGAAGAGAAAATTCTTCGCAGTTAGTGGCTGTAGTGAAGGAAAGTGATCCAAGAGAAGCCTGTAGGTCGTGATTTTAAGTAACACAAGTTAAAACAAAAAACAAAAACAAACTCTCCAGTGTGAAAATCCCTCTTTAAACGTAAGTTGTAAAGGTTAAACAAGAGGAAAACCATTTTCATCTATTATTCACTCCTGATGCTAGTTTAGAGATGGGTTCAAACAACCCCAAAACTCTGTCGCTAGATCAGAACTCTTTGTGGCTTCGGCACAGCTACTCATTTAATTTCAGCTTGCGGTGAGTGAGAGATGAAAAACCCTCTCTCCTCCCCCCGCAGATAATTCTAGTGTTACCTACATGGCACTTGAAATCCCTGCTAGCCAAGGGGGCTAGAGCGCAGATCCAGAAATTCAAGCAGGGTACTCCATGTGGCTGGCCCTAAGGACACTAAACCCTAACAGGAAATCTAGCACTCGCTAGAGGTGTCAGATTGACTCAGATGCTCTATCTGCAGAAGAGGTACTGGCAGCTCAGGCAATGTTAGTGCAAGCAGTCCTTTGCTGTCCTGCCAAAGCACCTCAACCTTGATCTGGAAGAGAAGGAAAAAGAAAAGCTCAGATTCCATGGTCCAGGAGAGGGTCACACAGACACTTGTCCACTAGAAATGGATCTGAGACCCTATCAACTCATTGCACATAGCTCCACAGCTGAATATCTATTGGCTGTGTCATTACTGACCCAGGTCGAACTGGAGGAGTGACCTAGCAGGGGGAGGTTTTACAGGAAATATAAACAAGCCACTCTTCCAAACATACTTTCTAAGAACAACATGTTTTTTTTAATGCCGCAACAATGCCGCGTATATAACTTGTTGATTCAACAACAATCACTGGTCATTTTTTACAGATGGTCTTAGGAGACGCGGCTGTCTGGAATCGCAACAAGCTGCCTAGCCTCTTGGCAAAACAGATTCATGAAAGGACAGTGCACAAATGCAAAAGAAAGCAGACAGGCACCTGACAGAGGCAGTGTATTAAGCCATTAACTCGATGGGGTTATTGCTTCAAAACAGCTTGCCTTACTGAAACAAAACAAAAAACTCCATATGGCAGGGCACAAGTTTAATTACCATTTTCTAAGGATGCATGGCCAGGCAAAAGCATAAAGACTCTGGAAGAGACCGGCATAGCTCACCTAAGGAAAATAAGTGTTTGCTTTTAAAAGAGAACATCACCATCAACACAGATGAGTTCAATATAATTCGTTATACAATTAGGGGCTCTGTATCTTCCTAAAGAGACAGCTTTTTTAGGTAAGGAAGCAATACAGTCCTTAAGGGAAAGCTCCTGATTATGTGGGAATGTAGCAGGTTACAGCATCTGTATGCGAGCATCAGAGTCTATAAAGCTGGAATAGGAAAGCTGGCTCCCTATGGTCACCCAAAAAGCAGAGAGAGACATTCACATGGACCGTGATACTGCAGATCCTGCTCAACATTCAAAGTGCCCACCTCTGGAAGGCAGAGAACTTCCTGAAAAGCAGGTCCAACGCCAGCTAGCCAGAATGTGGGGCTGCCGTTTTACAGACAGAAGCACTTTTCCAGGGCATCACTTCTAGGAGCCGCAAGAGAAACAGAACGTCAAAGTGATGGTAGATGGGTAGCCCTGGAGGCTCTCCGGTTTGGGGACGCGCCACCTCAAACGTACTTCCTTCCTTCTCCTCTCAATACATTTCTAGATGAAACATAGTTAGTATGGCGTTAATAAAGCCATCACAGCAGCCAATCTGCTGGCATGCAATCTCTGGGTGTCAGCTAGGAGACTCCATCCAAACCTTCTCTGTGTGACTTAAGAGCAAGCATCAGTTACCCTGAATGCTGATGGACAGTGCCACTTGTTGGCACGGCACCGTATGTGACTGCACCGAACCCATCTTCAGGAGAATGGAGAGTGCACCCATTGTGCTCATTTCCCCACAGGGCAGATTAAACGTCCCATGAAACGCTGCCCTTTGGACCCATACTGGGAGCCCAGTCCTAATTTGCAGGAGTAGATTCCTGGTACTCAAGGATAACAATAGCAGTAGGGTAGGTAGGAAAGCAGGTTGGTATACTGGCCTAACCATCAAGAGGGCTAAGACTGAACAGCAAAACACAGGCTACTGGGCGTGATCCAGTTTGCACTTTTCAGCAGCAGCATGAAATCAAAAGACCTGTGCAGTGCCCCATGCTCTCTGAAACACGAATGCAGCTTCCCCCTGGACTTTTGGGCATCACTGCCAGGACACCTCATTGGCAAGCTCCAAACCATCCAGCAGAGTAGATCTGTGTGTGCCAATATCAACCCACGCCTCTCGAATAATCTTTGCTTTGCAAACCTCTCTAAAATTTTGTCAATATTTATTTTAAGTCAGTGAAAAGGAGAAACACGTGGAGGCCCTGAGGTGGTGATGGGGAAACCCAAAACCATATAGCTAATGGAGTACAGTTTTTAGTATCACTACAAATAAGAATAATAAAAAAATTAATCTAGGGCAGCAAAGAAGGGCCGGGGATCCAGTTGAACTTCAGTGCAAGGCCTTGTTTAATATCAGCATCATGTCTATTTCAGTCCATTTGTTTAATCTATTTGGGCCTACGAGTGTTTAGTCTTCCGACGATCCCGCTTGGTAAGGGGGCTAGGTTTGTTGCATCTGAAACAGAAGGACTTGGAGGACTGTTTTGTAGCCCGGTGGCAGTGTGGAATCCCAGTCCCTGCACAAGCAGATGGGCTACACGGACTGCCCTGGAATTTCAGCTTCCTGTGGCAGGTTTGGGTGCAGCCTCTGTCATGCCAAAATGAAATGCTAACCTTAAATTAAAAGATGGCAACAAAGAAAGCACAAACAGAACTGAAGTCCGGCCATCACACATACACACACAGAGTGCCAGATCAGTTTCTCTGTAACCGGATGTGCTGGAGCCTTCTGACGTTACCTATGGAAACGCCTCTTCCTAGACTAAATTTGTACCCCGCGAACTCCTCTTCAAAGAGGTATTCCGCTGCTTGGCTTGTTGGCGGTGATGGGGTTGGGGTGGAGAAAGGGGGGGCACGCCGAGTGGTGGGAACTGAGCGACGTGGCAGCTCTGACAAAGTGTTTCTGGTTTGGAGAATGATGAGGGATCAGAAACGATTTTCTTTTGTGTTTTAAAATAATATTGTGCGTTTTCCCGAGCCGAACGTCTTTGCTTTTTCTCCTTAAGACTCTTGGGGAACCACTTCCATCAGCTTCTGGCACAGGACTGTCACGGAAACTGAACAGAGGAAACAAGAGCGAGTTAGAGGCACCAGAATACAAGTTTTACTCATTTCCGCCTGGAGAGCTGGTCGCTTGTTTCATGATCCTCTGCCTCAAATGGCCTGACTTGGCAGCCGTCCCACTTTTTTCTTTCAAAGGAGTTTGCCCAAATACTACATAGGTCTTCATTGCAAATCAAATACCCAGGCCATGGTTGCCTCAGTCCTTACCCACAACTCCCATCTGTAACAGCAGGACTTTGTGCACAATGAGAGCAAAAATGACTCAAGACACCTACATTGGGTGATGTGTATTGACTAAGGGGACATTTCTATACCCAGTCTTATTAACTGCACACTTCTGGGAATCATCAGTTATTACTGCTTATATTATATTATATTATATTAATCAGTTAATGGTTAAACATTATGTTTAACCAGATAACCGATTAAACAGGAGCAAATGGGGGCTGCTTAGGCCAAGCTGGGCCAGCTGCAGACGGAGCGCCCCTGCCTGTGGCACAGTGGGCCTGCCACATGTCAGGGCTAGTCTGGAGGAAATGGAGCACCCCCGCCTGCTGCAGGCCCCTCCGGGCTGAAGCACTCTTGCCTACAGTGGGTGGGGGGGCTGCTCCAGCCCATTAGTTAACCATTATGGTAAGCATCACCCAGTAAGGTTAACTGGTTAATCATTCACAATGCTAATCTTATAAATATTTTAGAAAGTTTGTTTGTTTGTCCTGAAAGATCTCTGAAATGGCAAGTGCTAGAAACACAAAATTTTGAACGGATACTACTGATTTCCTAACTTATATAACTAGATTGATAATATCTCAAAATTGGTTCCCCCAGAGCGTCAACTGGGCCCACTGATCTTTTACTATATTTTCCCCGGGCGACGCTGGGTATTTCTGCGTGCGTGTGTGTGTGTAGTGTAGTGTAGTGTAGTGTATATATATAAATGAATTTGGGCCCAGATTTCAGAACAGTACGAGCCATTACTGGACAGTCACATTAATGGTGCAGCCATGTCCTGAGACAGCATTTTTGCTTGATGGTTTTGAATAGCTGATCCTGCACATGCATTTTCCTTAAAAACACGGCAGCGTTGTGCTGTCACACGCAATCAACACAAGGGCAAATCAGAATGTGCAGACTACCACTTATGCACAACAAAATAGGTGAGAACATGCACAATGTCACATCAGGATGGGGGTACAGGGGGAGGAGCAGGAAATTTAACGAGGAAATATTTCAATCGTGAACTTCTAAGTGGGGTAATAAATTGTAAGGTTTATTTTAATCCTAAATTACCTTGACAGAATCTTTTAGAAGTGTTTCAAATGGTTCTGTACCCTCACTACTACACTGAGTGTTCTCTGCACACAAGACAATCATGGCAGATACAATTAATGATCAGATTATCTACATTATATTAGTACATATGTGGGCATATGACGCATGTGTGTCAGTCCGACACTTGTCAGATTTCTTATTCTGTGTTCCTCAGCTATTTCCTCTCTTCTCTGCTTAAAAGCCTGTCCTGGTGGAACATAATTAATATGCTAATTTGCAACTCAGTTGCTGTGGAAATAGCTTTACCAAGAGCTAAGCCTGATACTTAGAATTGAAAAAAAAAGTCATGAGCACTGTTAAAAAGCTCTTTTTTGTTCATTAAAAGCACCCAGATAAGGTTTGGCATTTCTGCTTGTCTGCTTTTCTAGGTCAGCCAGCTGTATCAGTAACAGACAGATGGTGGAGTTTAGTTACTTAGACAACACAGCTTAACTCTCTTGAATCAGTTGTTCAGACAGAGAGCTGAGGGAGTGCCTGGCAGAGAGCTTTCCACCCTGAACATTCACCGTGGTGCAGGCGTTGACAGCTGAGACACACCTATGTTACAGGGAGACCTTATCAATAAAGCTCCCCAAAGAATCTACCAAGTTATTATTCCCCTTCCCAGGCTGTGCTGTTACACAGAGAGCAAGGGAAGTATTGACTGGACCAGGACACGCCTTGTCTACACTGGCGACAAAACAGCGAGAGCATTTACACTCCAATGCAACTTGTGTTAGGAAAAACACCCAGTTTTGGCAACAAAAAAATCTTCCACCTGGGGAGAGACTTTTGTCTTTTCCCTTCCCTTTATTGCTGGAAAAGAGCCAGTGCAGACTCTGCTGTTTGTTTGGTCGAGAGAACTAGCTTCCGCCAGTATCCCACAGTGCTTGACCTGATGGCTCTGCTCAATGTTTTGTGATCTCTGCTGCCCTGCAAGCATGCGCCCCTCTCCCCCCCCTACCACTTTCAAAGCTCCAGGAAGTATCGGACAGCTGAGTGAGCAGCTCTGTTTGGGGAACAACCAAAAAACCAAATCATTGGAATTCTCCTGTCCTGCCCTGCCAGAAGGGGCGGGCTGGAGAGACGGCTGTGCTGCTTTGACATTCCTCAGCACAGAGAGCTCACAGAGCTACTCACGATACTGCTCACAGCAGCTGAAGAGGCTGTGGGAGAACTTTGAGGGAATCCCAAGAAGCACAGGGATCAGCTCTGCCTTCCTACCACACTGCCAACATTCCTTTGCTCTGTCTGTTGACAGGGGACCTAGCAATGTGGCCATGACATGTCAACAATGGGCGACAGAAAAAACGGTTTGACCCGTTTTCACTTTTGCATGTCGACAGCACTTTTGTCACCCCTTCCCCCCCAGTGTATGCGACATGTGGGGGCTAATTCTGATCTTGCCTTCGTTAGAATTAGCCCCACCGCACTCAGATTTTCACACTGTATCCCCACCCCCCTTCCCACTTCACCCAGCAGGATATTTTCCTCGGTTAATGAAGCAACGACAGGAAAAAGGAAGTCTCAGCAGCTCACTGGAAATTAATATCCCAACATTTCTCTGTTGGGGGAGGGAGGGCGCAAAAGGTGGCCTGCGTTTGGTCTGTGATTTGCCCTTACAACAGATCACTCCAGAGCTGGGGCTGACAAGCTGCCCAACTCCTGACCAGTGACTCCTGAAAGCCATTCTAGGCCTTGGCAATATGACAGCCAGTGCTACCCGCCTCCGCACGGCTCAGTAAGAGCCAAACATTATTCATGGAGCCAATGCTGCCCCCTGCCAAGGCTGATGCCCCTGGTTAGCACTTACAGATGCCCTGGAGGATCCACTTGGGTTTGTTTTTCCACCAGACCCCAAACATGTACACAGGGATCCCGCTGAGAATGATGGCAAAGCCGATGGCGCATTCCACCGGCGTCATCCAGAAGGAGACCACGATCAGGAATAAGCAGGCCAGGATGAAGAAGATGGGCAGCAAGAGGTTAACCTGGACAAAGGGTAAAAGCAAGGTTGTGGGACATTAGCCAAGGGGGCTCGGAAGCAAAGGCCAGTTACACTTCAGTTGTGAGTATCTCCCTACGACGTGCCTGCCAGGTTCTGACCTGGGGGTGGGGGAGAGTTGGGATGTGGAGACAGACCCTTTGCAGAGGACACGCCTGACAGCTCGCACCTGTGAACGAGACCGCGGACAAACAATTGTGGCAACCCCCTGGAGAGGTAGAAGTATTATCACCCCTCCCCCCCATTTACATAAGACAGAAACAGGGCATTTGGAGGGCTGGATGGCCTAGTGGTTAGCATCACTGGCCTCTTTTTTTCCCCTACCAAAGGTGCCTGATCGCTAACCTCAGCTGGGGAACTTTCTGGACTCCACTCACATCTGAGTCTCAGCCCTTAAGGGGATATGGTAGAGGGACCCGGGACTGTCCTCTCTGTCGGGTCCCAGCTCAGGGCATCCCTGGCAGATTCCTCCAGCAGAGACTCTAAGCTCAATGCTCTGGGCTTCTTCCTACCAACGTCCCTTCTGTCTGTGTGGCCCGTACGGTCCGAACAATCAAGTGACTCATCTGGAGCAGCACCCGCTTCCAGGCGCAGCCGCAGGCCCCTCTGGGCAGGGGAGCCGCAAGAGTGGAGGGCAAGGTCCCTCTAAGGCTACGTCTAGACTGGCGTGTTTTTCCAGGATACCAGAGGAAAAATTCCGCCACAACCAGAGAACGTGTTTGCTCTTGGAAGAGGAAACGCACTCTTTCGGGGAGCCCTGTATACCTCGTTCTACACGGAACAAGGGCTCCTCCGAAAGAGGAGGCTTTTCTACCATTTGGCCCCATCCAGAGGCAAATTGCGTAGTTTTTTCCTACACAGGACTGACCTCGCCTAAGTTGCGGTGCAGCACGACTCCGCAGCTGCTTAATGGGCCCCGCCCAGGGGCTCAGAGCTGCTGAGCACGGAGCTGCCTGGTAGGGGGAGGGGCATTTCTCCCTCAGCAACAGCGGCAGCCCCCTGCTGAGGACGGAGCAGCGAGTCTCTCCCAGCGGGTAGAACACGGCAGCACTCTTCAAACAAGGGAGCTGACCCCAGCCTGCTCAGAGCTCTCGGGAGCACTGCTCTGGGAAGGTTCTGTAACGTTGGCCGCCTGGAGCTCGGGGTGGATTTGAATACACTTAGACTCTAAGGATGGCTGCAGAGCACGGGGGCCGACTGACTCCAGTGCTTGATGTGATCTTGGCCTCGAACCAGACGGCCCGTTGTGCTGCTGCGGTAGCAGAGGACGAGTTCTTTTTCACGTCGTTTGTTTTTTAAACAAATACTTTAAAGTCGATTTCACGCTGGTATGAAGCGTTTGATCGAGAGCCACCCGGGCTGACGTCCTTCGCTATTAATCCCTAGTGCAGGTTTAGCAGAGAATTTTTCTATGTGTTGCCTGTCAAGTTACCTCACCTGGCATGGAGTGAATTTCTATTATCCCTTTGTCTCAGCCCTGGGCCCCTAGGCTGATGAGGGAGCCAATAAGCACAGCCGAGGCAGAGTTTGTGGATTCAGGAACCAGTTTGACACCAGCCATGAATTTCACACCAGCTTCCGTTTGTCCACATTTAGCTCGGCTTGCTATAAAGTTGCACTTCCCTCCACATAGTAAAATAGCTGCATTTTCCGCTCCTCCCTGCACAGATTTTCTCAGCTTTACTGCTGAGGGGGGAATTCCTATACATTGAAGTCAAATCCTCAGCAATGAAAGGAACTTCACATTTCTTACAGCAACCCAGGTCCTGGCCTGCTCTTTCAATAGCTCCCTGTTGGCTCTTGCCGCAGCTCAGCTGGCTCTTGCCAGAGCTGCACGTCCACTTTCCTTTCACCTCTGCGCATCTCAGAACACAAAAGAATTGCCCCTCTCCTGTAAACACCCCCACAAAGCCTCCATTAGCTGCACAGAAGGGAAAACTTCACGTCTGCAGGGTGACCCCATCCACCACCACCACCTCTCCTCACCTTGATGGGCCTTTCCAGTTCCGGCTTCTTGTACCGGAGCCACATCATGCCGATGATGGCCAGCGCCACGCACAGCCAGTTGAAGAAGCTGAAGAAGTTGATGACTGAGAAGATGTCATTGGAGAAGGCGTAGAGCAGGGTCATGAGGCACTGCAGCCAGACAGAGAAGCCATGAGCCAAGGGGCAGGCAAGGCGAGGACACCGTACGCTACTAACGACAAGTGTCTGAGAGCAACTGCCCACCAGCCAGGAGCAGTGAAGGATTTCCAGGCAAACTCAGAGGTGGTGGCTACGTTTTTACTAATTGAACCAAGTCTGATCACCGCATGGAACTATACCTCCACTCCAGGGGTACACTAAGATGATGAAGGGCATGTAAATACGCCGAGTGCCAAAGAAGGGCGGGTATTTAGGGGATGAAAAGAAATGGAATTCCCACAGTGCACCCAGAACCAAGGGTCTGAGAGCACCAGACCAAATCAGCAGCATTAGGAAGAGGAAGGTGCCGTGGAAAATTTCCCCACACAGCTCTGCCGAAGGCACCTCCGTTCTGACAGGGGCTCCTGCTATTCCCGGCCTGAGCACCCTCCACGCAGCTCGTCCCATGCATTTCAATTGCGACTAGCGTGGCTCCGGGCTATTTCCCTACTTGCTCTTGGCCACAGCTGTACCACTGCTCTCCCCCATCCGATCCTGCAGCACCTGTGCTGTGTGGGAGCCTCTGGCCATGCCATCGTCCACCCCCTCCCCGCCAGCTCTTCCTCTGGTGAATCTGAAGTGCAAGCGGTCTCCCCAGCATGTGCGAGGCGGACCTGGGCTGAAACATGGGCGAGTGATTCAGCCGGGATCGCCGCTAACCCTGCATTCCGTGACCGAACGATCTTCTCTATCTGCCTTTTGCTTCCTCTTTTACCCACCCGCGCTCCCTCCCCAAGCTCGAAGGGCAGAGATACGTTCTTCTCGCCTGCAAAAGCTGCCACTCCAGCGACTGTTTGACAGCTGGGGGTGCCCAGAGCAAGGCAGGGGACAACCAGAGACTACAGATCCTCCGGGAGAAGGTTCTGCGGCCCCAAAGTGACGCACATTTTACTACAGGGACGACTGTGACTTTCCAGTGGGCTGAGGTGGGTGGCAGTTTGGACCTCTCCTCCCCCCCACGTTCCTAGAGCTTACAATACACCGGTAACCGCTGACACCGATTTCCATACTAAGAAACAGAAAATAGCTTTGTCACGGTCACCTGGCATTCCAGCTCCCTGCCCAATGCAGCCGTTTCCCTGGGATATCCCCATGCAAGGCACGTGATTAAACTGAGCAAGACACGAGGGACCTGGGGGGACTACTCCGTGTGGCAGACACTCTGGGGATGGGGCAAGAGGAGGAGGAGGAAGTTCTCCTCCTGGAACAACAGACATACAGTGGAGTATCTCCTGCAGCCCCAGGAGGGACGGGCATGGATGGACCGGGGCTTGGCTCCGCCTTCTTAGCCGGTTGTGTTCTCTCTGCCACGCGCCACCTGACTCAGAAAGCCCGCAGGACACTTACTGTGAAGATGAGAGACGGCATGGGAGTGAGCAGCCGGGGGTGAATCATGGACAGGACAGAAGGCAGGTGACCCTCCCGGGATCCCACGAAGAAAAGCCTGAGGGCAAGAGAGCAGTTACTTCATCTGGCCAAGGTGCCTGCAAGTCACTGACTCCGTCCAGGACTGACGATGCGCTGACTCTCCCAGTGGCTATCTCGTGAGCCCTGAAGTCCTCCCCATGTTGCCTATCATTTCGGTATACCCATGTGGGGGATGCATTTTATGTGCAGCCATGGGGAGGTGACGTGTGACACGTCATGTCCCTTCTGGGGCACACAAAATCCGTTCTGCCCATGGATGGTGTGTGGTGGGGGTGGGGCTGAGGACTGGGGTTTGGAGGGGTGGAGGTTCTGGGGTGGGGCTGGAAACGAGGGGGGTGGAACTGTAGGCTGTCTTGGAGAGAGAGGACAACCCCTTCCCCCGCACTGAAGCAGCTTGGGGCCAGGTGAGAGGCACTTTTCCAACGCTGCGGCAGCTCCAGTGGGGCAAGACCGGGGTGCCTGAGCCCCGGTCCACACCAGGTCCATGCCTGGGCTGGATTGGAGCTTGCCCCAAACACATGGAAAGCAGACAGCTTAAATGTAACTATATAGGACAGGCTGAATCTCTCTAGTCTGGCCCCCGCGGGCCTGACCCATCCCGAACTAGAGAAGTTTCTGAACCAAGGGAGGTCAATGCAGAGTGCTAGCGGGTCTCCATAAACATTGGACGAGTATGGGGGTACAGTAGCAACCCCAGGCTTTGTGCCCAGCATAGCCCTATGCCTGGGAGCCACACCGCCCCTTAGGGCCCTTGCCACTAGCCCCCCGCCCAGGATCCCCCCCACCCCAGAATGCACCCTGTCCCCACTCCACCCTCTTCCTCCCTGGGCTTGATCTGTGGTGCTCCGGACGCTGTGGGAGGGCAGGGGAGGAATAGCTAAGGGTGGGGCTGCCAGTGCATGGAGGAAGGGGGCAGAGGAAGGGAGCTTGGTGCTGTTTTTCCCCGTGAGTGCTCCGGTCCCGGAGCACCTACAGAATCACCGCCGATGCCGGACCATGGACATTGCTGGACGGAATTCCGGATTACAGAGGTTCAACCTGCACTGTAGTCAATGAAACACTGAATGCATGTGACTGTGGCCATTCTGGTTAATGTGAGTTGCTAATTTGGTTCCTGAAGTACTAGCATCACCAGTTTAAGGTCTTAAAAAAAAAAAAAAAAAAAAAGATCACTCTAATCCCCTGCCTTCCCACTCTGCGCCTGTGCACGGGCAACACTTCGGAGGCCCTGCTCCCAAGGAAGAGAGGTTTGGCACAGGCTCTTGAAACGGGATCTGCAGCACTGAGCAGAACACGTACCGAGAAGAAGTGAAGAGGGATCCATTGACAGACCCAAAACAGGATAAACCAACGAAGATGGGGATGATCCAAGACATCACGCCAAGGTGATAGTTTCCAAAGTCCTAGCAGGAAGCAACATTCCGTCAGCAAACGTGCCTCTGGGGACACATCTCAAACCACCCAGACATGTTTTTAACCGATAAAACAGCCCAGTCGAGATGACTATATGCACAGATGACTGAAGATTTTTTATACGGCCTTTTTCACAGGGCCAAAGCACTTTACAGAACTGCACACAAAGCGCAGAAGGCATTACCCTGACATACAGCCACTTCTGGGGTCGAGCATGGCATCCATTAGAATACCACCCAGTGGTTTGGACAGAAAGTCTGGGAAAACGCTGGAGCCAAATGCAACGGCGGGAGGGATCAGACATGTCCTGGACACTGAAGCTGACGCCCCTATTTTGCCAGGGAGCGCTACACGCTCTTTCATGAGTCTCGGGTTTACAGCACAGTCGGATTCATCCCAGCGTTGCTCTGGTTTTATACCAGTGCAAGTCCGCTAGTTCAGTGGCGTCACTTCAGAATAAAACGGGAGTAATGCAGCCAGAGCTGGCGTCTCTCCCAGCACGGTACCGGAGATGCAACAGGCTGCTGTACGGATTAGTGTTACTCAGAGGAGCGCGTGCTGCCTACTGACCCGCCAACACCAATTTATATAGGACAGGCTGAATGGTTGGAGGTTTCTAGTCCCAATCTTGCTTTGCTTCCATGCTCACACTGAGCTGCACTCTCCATAGAGCCAGAGAGCAGGATTTCTGGCTCTGCTTTTATTTTAGCTATTAGAATAAAGCTGATTTGTTTAAAAAGAATTCAAGTGCAGCTAAAGCAAAGGGATAGAGGGCAAGAATAGCCTGGCTCAATACAGATGGAGGGACCTTTCCCCATAAATGTCACACTCTGGTAACTGATCACAGACTTACACAGCCTGAGGATGTTAAATATTGATTAACCGACTAGTCAAATAGTCAATGCATTTTGCAACTAACTATTTGATTAGTTGATAGGGCGCCTCCACCTTTGAAAGCGCCATGTGGAGCCCAAGGTCAACTGGGGAGTCCAGCTGATCCTGGGCACCACACGGCGCTGCCGCTTTGAAACTCTGCGAGGAGCCTGACACCAGCTGATCCCAGGCTCCACGCAGCGCTGACGCTTTGAAATGCCGTGTGAAGCCTGGAGACACCCCAACTGGACACAAGCTGCACACAGAGTTTCAAAGTGGCAGGGCAGCATGGAGCCAGGGATCTGGCCCCAGGCTCCACATGGCCCTGCCTCTTTGAAGTATCCTTTCTCCTCCCCCCTGCTTGCTGCCTCTTTGTGATAGAGGCAGCAAGGGGGTGGAAGCGAATAGTCGACTAGCCTGTCGACTATCCAATAAGAATTTGCCAATAGTTGACTAGTCCTTCACATCCCTAACACAGCCAGTAGCAGGTATGGTTATTTATGAACAACGGTGCCATTTATTTCCACCCTTACTTTAATCCAGCTCCGTGTCACGTGTGAACTAGGGATGTGAACGGTTAACCGTTACCTGGGAGCAGCCTACCTGCTCCACCCTGCCTCCGTTTAATTAGTTAACCAATTAAACGTAAAGTGTTTAACGTGTTACAGTTAACTAATCAAATGGGATTTTACGTCTCTCGTGTGGACAACTCTTCCCCGCCCCCAGTCAAATATCAACTTGGTGTAAGCAGCCACCGTCGGTGTCAAATGAACTGGGAGATTCAACTAGATACAGCACGGCAGATTCAGACAGTGGAGAAAACCAGATAAATCAGCGTCATTCATCTTACCACAGCCACGGCTTCAGATGCTAGCATCTGGTCTGTTGACAGGGTGGTGAAGTAGGCCAAGTTCGTCAACACGTAAACTAAGGTGACAATGGGCAGTGAAATGATGATGGCTAGAGGCAGGTTTCTGGGGAGAAAGGGAAAAAACAACTTATTAGGATCTGGGGCGCTGAAGCTCAGTCCGTGGCATCGTTCAAGAGACAGCATGGTAAGGAGAGACGCTGCTACTGCAGGGACCAGCCAGCCTTTCTGAATAGGCCTTGCACTGGCTTAAAGATTGCCCAATTCATTCAGCTTTTCTTTGGTCTTGCAGAGGGTCCAGCTTGCAACCAGGACTCCCAGTCCCCTTCGGAGGAATCCACAAATAAAAGCAGATCGGCACAGTGGCTGGGAGGGAGAGGAAGACGGACTGGTGGGGACCAGACAGCTTGGAAATGGACTCTGATTAGCTGAGCAAATGGGAGCTCACAGGGGCCTCCTGCCAGATATCAGTGTTAGGCTTTGTCTCTGCTGCTAGGGTTCAAGTGCTGCCGTGGCAACGCTTTGTGGCCACGGCACCAGCGCTGGGAGAGAGCTCTCCCGGCACTCTCGGTCAGCGGTTCTCAAACTTTTTGGCCCACGGCTCACCCCGCTCAATGCAGACCTTTCCGAGGACCAGCAGTCAACCGCGCATGATGACAAAATGGGTGCAGGAGTGGGTAGGGGTGGGGGGGGTCTGGCTAGGAGGTTGGGTGCAGGAGCGAGTTGGGGGGTCTGGCTGAAGGGTTGGGTGCAGGAGCGGGCTGAGGAAGGGGTGGGTCAGGGCCAGGAAGTAGGGTGCAGGAGCAGGCTAAGGGTGGGCGTTCTGGGAAAGAGGGAGGGTGCAGGAGCTGGGGGGAGGTGGGTCCATGAGGGGGATGTGGGGTTTGGGCATGAGGGAGATGGGGGGTGCTTACCTGTCTCTGTGT